GAATTCTGCATTCCCATTTGACACATGACCAACCTGCAACTCCTCATCACTGAGGTTCTCGCCCAGCTCCTTGGCTACGCGTTTTAGATTTTTGAATGAAATCGTTCCAGTTTCGTCGTCATCGAAGAGCTTGAAAGCTTTCAGGATTTCTTCTTTGGTATCTTTCTCAGACTAAACAAGTAGAACATAAAACACATGAGGATGCAAACGCCACAGTTCCTCGTGCCCTAAATCGCCGCCGCCTACACCCTCCGCCCTGCCCCTACATCACCGCGTGATCTTGGCGATGGCCTTCACGACATAGGTCCTAGGTCACAGGAAATCAAACATCACCCAGGGTGAAAAAGAGAACAAATTCAACCACATTATTACAAACCCAGAGGCTAAAAAGGAAATATATAGGATTGCACTGACGACGTTCTGTTTGTACAAACCGTTGAGAAACTGGATTTGTTTTTAAATAGAGGAGAGGGTTGAGTTAAAATTAGGTGAAATATGTTCCTTAAGCTGGTGGAAGAGGGATCTTCTTGGTGGAAGGGGCAGGGAGGACAGAGAGGGCTCATTTGTTATGAGGTCACGGGGAGTTACTGGGATCCCAAATATTGGAATGGAGGAAGAGAAGAAAATCTCCAAAAGCTCAGAGTCCCCCAAATTCCTGAAAGGTAGCTAAAGGTAGAGAGAAGGCCCGATAAGAGCAATTTGGGAAAAAACCTTGACTACGGGACAGTTTTATTAGGTGGTTACAGAATGTTAAGCTCCCTGATCTCTTATGAAGAACGGTACAAGTGCAATTAGATAATTTCGAAGCAAGAGAATTATTAGAGCAGGAACGGACTTGCACCCTGGGAAACACATCTGAGACGCTGATGGAGTTGCAGGTAGAGCATAGATGAGCCACACGGAGGAGGAGCCGGGGGGCCAAAGAAAGAGCAATGGCCTGTGGCCTGATGGGAACATACTTCCTGGGTGGGATGACATCAGGGGAGTGAAGTGGACTGGTGGAGTGACATCTTACAGTCTCTCCTGACCCTCTGGATTCTTTAAAAGAGGGATACCTGAGAGACTAGAGAATGGGTGAATTCAAGCTTCGAAGTGCTGAAAGACCAAGTCCCCACTGCGGCGAAAAGCACAGCCACTGAGGTAACGAGCCCTCAGGCTAAGGCTGCCCAGAATAACAAATGAGACGGAGAAGAATTGTGAACTTTATTCATCTTGTCAAATTGTGAGACACTAATAGTGTTGGTGTTTGTAGGCTTTATTGCTTGTGGTTATCACATCGACATCCCAGCTAGAGAAAGATAATAGCAAACAAGGTGACAGCAGTAATATGTTCACTACTTGACAGAGGGTAAATGACTTTTCTGTGACTTTGTGGCCTTAAAGAACGTGAAGCAGAACCTCAGCATCCTAAGTTTGTGTGAACTTTTCTTCGATAAAGACATTTTAATATCGAGATTGAAATTTGGGGTAGAAAATATGCTGAGTATCTTAGCGAACTTACCATTTTCTGAGTCATCACGGTCAAAAATTCACTAAAGTTCATTTTTCCTGTCCCCTCCTTATCAATTTCACTTATCATTTTCTTGATCTCTTCTTTCTTGGGTTCAAAGCCCAGTGCTCTCATTGCCACCTACAATGAAAACAGGATCATCTCAATATGTACATCTAAACCTAGCAGGAGCAGTGTTGAGAGCATTATGCCAGCATGTGACACGGTCATGTTAAAATGATTGGGAAACACTATTACCATTAAGCAAATAGAGATTTGCACTCGTTTTATTTAATAACACTTGGGGTAAGCAAAGACAGGAAAACAGAACAGTACGTTCTTCCCTTGTTACTTTTTTCAGGGAGAAGAGAGCAAAAGAGGTAGAGCGGTGACAGGGAAAGAAGACAAAGAAGCAGAGGAAAGGCAA